CCTCCAAAGAAAGACAACTATGTGGCAGGCACATGGAAGGGTGTCCTCATGAGCTGTGTGGGAGAGACGGCTCCCTGGCCCAAATCCGCAGGGAGTCACCGCCTCACACCCACTGTGCCGGAGGAGGGAAAACAGAAAACAGCAAGTGCCGATGAGGACAAGGAGAAGCGGGCCTCCACTGCTGGGGCAAGGGCACAGCAGGTGCACCGCTGCCGTGGGAAACAGCGGTTCCTCAAAAGGTGACGCCCAGAACTCCCATCAGAACCAGCAATTCCACTCCTAGGTATGCTTTCTCCACCCAAGAGAAAATCAATCCACACAAAAATCCGTCCACAAATGATCATAGAAGCATTAGGCATAACGACCAAAATGTAGAGACGACCCAGATGTCCATACGGATGAACTAATGATGGTCCATCCGTGACCAGCAGGGAACGCAACTCAGCCTTAACAGGCGTGGAGCTCCACTGCAGGCGTGGAGCTCCGCTGCAGCCGTGATGACCCTCGAACCCGGCATGCTGGGTAAAAGGAGGCAGACGCAAAGCAGTGCAGGGTTCTATTTATACACCTGCCCACAAGAGGCACACCCCGGGAAAGAAAGCAGATCAGCGCTTCCCAGAGACCTGGACACAGAGAGGGTTACAGTGAGGGAGGGAGGGCTGCTGAAGAGCATGGCGTTGCTTTTTGGTATGAAGAACACGTTCTAAAATCAATTGACTACGGTGATGGCTGCACAGATCACTGAATATGCTAAAAACCACTGAGCTGTATACTTTTTTTTCTGACACAGAGTCTCACTCTGTCGCCTAGGCTGGAGTGCAGCGGCACATTCTCAGCTCACTGTGACCTCCCCTCCCAGATTCAAGCGATTCTCCTGTCTCAGCCCCTGCCTCCCAATAACAAACCACAGGTGCATACCACCATACCCGGCTAATTTTTTCTATTTTTCGTATGGATGGGGTTTCATCATGTTAGCCAAGCTAGTCTCGAACTCCTGACCTCAGGTGATCCGCCTACCTCGGTCTCCCAAAGTGCTGGGATTACAGGCATGAGCCACCGTGCCCGGCCCTGAGCTGTATACTTTGTTTGTTTTGAGACAGTCTGGCTCTCTAGCCCAGCCTGGAGTGCAATAGCATGATCTAGGTTCACTGCAACCTCTACGTTCTAGGTTCAAACGATTCACCTGCCTCAGCTCCTGGGTAGCTGGGACTACTTTTAAAGGGCAAATTGTACACTATGGGAATCATATCTTAATAAAACTGTTCGCATTAACAAAAAACAATTCGGTTCACCACCTCCTTGCCCAAACCGCTGCCCTGCCCCTCATTCCAAATTCCAGGTTCCTCCCCAGGCACTGCAGGGCCCGATCTGGCTCAGGCATCTGTACAAACCCCTGATTCCAGCCCACCCAGACCTCCTGTCCCCTGCCCAGCTCCTGACACACCAACAGGCTTGCTCCTGGCCAGGCCCGGTGTTCCTCTCTAGGGACCCCTCCATCCCCCCGGCTCCTCCACCTGCCTTGCTTGGTCTCATGTTTCAAGGGTCTGCTCAAATGCCAGCCTCTCCGAGGCCCATGCCCCACCTTTCCCAGGCCAGGGCTGACTTCCTGGCCAGTGAGCATCTTCTGTCACCACGTCATGAGCGTCCCGTCTATTGATATGTCCTTCCTCAAGCTCTGCATCTGCTCCTGGGTGCGACGCTCCCTAAGGGCGGGTGCCAGGGGTGCCCAGCACCAGCTTCCGCAGTCCCCATGGCTGCTTCGAGAACCAACACTGCCGCCCGGCCCCTCCCAGAGCCCCCTCCGGTTCGCCTCCCCCTATGCTCCTGGGGAGACGCCCACAGCGTAACCCCTCCACTCCCCCACCAGCCCCTTCATCCCTCACTCCTGCCTGGAAAACCTCATTCTTCTTCCCTCCTGCACCTCCGCCTGGCTCCCCAAGCTAGGCCACATCCCAAATCAGGCCCTCATTTCCTCAGTCCCGGGATGTCTCCGTGACACGGCTGAGATCCCAGGCCTACCATTCCTGAGGGTGCTGGGGAAAGTGCCAGGCACCCTCTCCTGGTACATTCTATAGTGACTGATCTGCGGAGACCTTGCCCTTCCTCTGAGCCGGTTTTGGCAGGTCACATTCTCCTGGAGCGCAGCCTGCACCTCCCTCGGGCAGGGCTCAGGGCACAGAGCTCAGCCATCCCCTGCTCTGGCTCTCCCCGCCCTCTCCTCTGGAGGGCGGCTCCTAGCGTCTATTTCACTGCTTTCTTCTTTTCCAGCCGCCTCACACCCAGGCTCCTGCAGCCTCCCACCCGCACCACCCACACCTGCCCCATCAGAGCCGCCTTCCTCGGATGCACCAGCACAGCCACGGCAGAGCCACTCACAGCCCCAGAGGGCCAGAGAGAGGGACTCCCAGACCCACTGGACCCTTCATCTACCCTCAGGTGCAGCCCCTGGGGGGACTGTGCCTGCAGACCTGCAGATCCCTACGGATCTCAGGGCAGGCGAGTAGGTAACCAAGAAGTCTTTAAAAGACAAAAGTTTTCAGGCCAAAAGTCCCCACACACCTACAAGGTACACTATGGACTCTGGTGACAAGGCAGTGGTGTCCATGTAGGTTCATCCACTGTAACAAACGCACTGCCCTGGAGTGGGAGTTGATGGGGGTGGGGTCAGGGGGAGGCTGTAGGGGGTGGGAGCAGGGGGATATGGGAAGTCTGTGCACCTTCCTGTCAATTTAAAACAAAAAAAGCCCCTAGTCACTACTCAGGTAGCTGAGGAGGCAGGATCACTGAAGCCCAGGCATTCAAGACCAGCCTGCGTAACACAGCAAGACCCTATCTCTTAAATACACACATATATATGAAATAAAAAACAACCCTTTCTATGAAAACACACAAAACCACACCCATGGAGCACCTTACATTCTGTCACCCCTCAGCGGGACCAAAGGGGCAGGCTGGCCGTTTTACAGATAGGTGTGGACTCCCCACCAGGCCATCTGCACAGCCCCTTCCTCCCACCTTGAGGGCATCTGCTTGGCCCATCTGCCAAGGCTTAGCACCCACAGCAAGGAAGGTGCTTGGAAGGAAGCCTTCCCAGACTCCTCCCTTCCCTCAGCTCTGTCCTCTCTTATCCAGCAACAGATCACAAACATCAACTGCAGGTTAAATCCCAGGTCCTGGGTGCAGGGTGCCCTAAGCACAAAAGCTCTGATCCGGGCCCTACAGTGACGCCGTGAGAGACAGTGTGAGGCCATAAGGCCAGCACAGGGGCAAGACGACAATCACTCTGGGCAGGCCAGGGTCGGATCCGGCCCCCCAGGAACCAGCCACATGACCTGGGCAAGGTGCTTGGGCTATGCATCCCTCCTGAGATGACATGTGTCAAGCACTCCCCCAAAAGCCAGATGCTGAGGCACCCAGTACGTACCACTTATCACTGTGGTCACCTGAGTCGCCGGACGCCAAAGGCACCTTGTTTCCCTCTAACTCCTGGGACACTGCCATTTGTTCCCTTTTAATGCCCACCACTATGGATGGTCCTGGGTCCCCAGGGGGATCCGCATCCTACTCACCCCCACGGCACCTACAGCAGGTCCTCATCAGCCCCACAGGGCATCCAGCGGACCATGCACATGAGAACCCTGCGCACAGCAGCCTCAGGAATCCAGGCTCTGACTGGCCTGACCCTGGCTGAGACCAGGACCACTTCTGGTGCATCTCTGGGGCCCAGCATCACCCACTCCAAGGCCTGGCACTACTGAGGCCCTGAAACAGGGGGCCCAGATGGGATCCCCATTTAGCACAAGACAGACGTCTGTGTTCTGTGAGCCCGAAGGGAGAAGGCTCAGGCCAAGGCAGAGGCGGAACCAGGAACACTTCACTAAGGAGGGCCCCAGGGTGCCAAGTCCCCTGCAGGAACACACGGGCCCCAGGCCACCCCAACTGGGCTCAGAGCTTGGGCTGGTTTCTTGGCAGCAGTAAGGCGACAGCTCTGGGCTCCGGGACAGGTCCACTGGCACTGGTGTTGTGACTGCCCCAACTCCACACCCACCTTGCTCTCCCTGATGCTGGGTGAGTGAGGTCTCCTTGGTGGCTGCATGGGTCTCAGCACTCAATTTCCGTGCCACTTCTGCTTCTCCCACCATGCTGGCTTCCCCAGAAGCAGCCAGCAGCCCTCACAGAGAGCACACCCCCCTGGGCAGAGAGTCCAGCGCGCCCAAGCCAACAACTAACACCTACAGGACCTGAGGACAGCCTTTGTTCCCCCAAGCCCCAGCCTGGAGCGAAGGGGGAGGTCATGGCGGTCAAGGGCCTGCGCTTGGCAATCACCCGTAGACTCGGGTTCTGAAGCTGCTGAGGGCCTTGGGCTAACAAGTGCAAGCCAGAGCCTCCATCCCGAGCCTCCATCCCATCCCCCTAAAACGGGGGTGACCACCTCCATCCCAGGGCCTTGAGAATTTAGGACAGTGAGGACCGGGCACTAGGCCAGGTTCCGGCAAAGTGTTCACCAGTAAGTGTTGAATCTGTAGCTGCTCATACTACAGAGGCCCCAGCACAGTCCTCACTAGGCTGCAGACCTCAGGATGCCCCAGAGGACGCATGAACGAGGTTTGGAAAGGCCTGTGGGACGTGCCTGAGGATGGATATCCTGAGGGCTGTGTGTGCCTAGTAACGAAAGACCTCCCATGGCAGCCAAGCAGCAGCTGGTGGCCTTGAGCCATGACTGCTGCCATTCCCTACCCAGAGCCCCGGTCATCCTCCCTTAAGTACCAGCCTCTGGAAGCCAATCCCTCCTTCCTTCCTATCCTTCAATACACACACCCTCCCCTGCACCACTCACCCCTCCCTCTATGCTGAGAGCTCCCAGGACCCCTCTGGCAAATCTCCCCCACCCCTCTGCTTGGTGTGAGTGGGTGAAGGTGTCTCCCTCGAGGGTCTGGGCTGTGCTGGGACAGGGACTGTAGGATTCCTGCCAGGCTGCCCAGCACTGAGCACGACTGTACCTTGCGCTTGCATTGGGGTGGGGGGCTTGAGACTCTGCTCTTCACCCAGGCTGGGCCAGGCACCTCATCTGGGCCCTCACAGGACAGTGTTGTGCCAAGACCACGCATAACCCCATGCCCAGCATGGGGCCTGGCCAGTGCGGCAGCCTGGATGGATTACGTTTATTCAGGGAATGGCCTTGCTCTCCTTTTTTAAGCAACTGAAGGGAAATTAAACCTGGGAAAAGGGAAGTGACATGTCCAAGGTCACAGAAGTGGAAGAGACAGAGCCAAGGCCAGGGCCCAGGAACCCCTGGCTCCAGAGCCCTTTCCATGTATTTCACACACATCTGTTGAGGTCTGCTCTGGCTCTAAAATAAAAGCATTAAGAACCTTTCCGATGAGGTCAATACTATTATTACCACCCTCACTCTGTCCCGGTGGGAAGACACTCGTCCAAGTTACTCGTCCAAGGCCACAGAGGTGAGTGGTGGGGCTAGGACTTGAACCCAGGCCTGCCTGGTCCCTGTGCTCTTGGGGAACACAACGCAGTGCCTGCACAAACTCTGGCAATGCGCCAGGGAGGGGCCAGGCAGGGTGATGAGCCCTTTCCATCCCTCAGCTCTGCTGAAGCTTGGATGGATGGATAAGAGGTGAGATAAGCAAACAGGAATCTGATCTGTATGTTGTCTGGGGCCGAGGCAGGAGGACCACAGGGGAACTGCGCAGAGGCAGGCAGGTGAATGTCAGCTGGGTTTAGCCAAAGAGGCTTACAGTCTTACAGAGGAGCTAAGCCAGGATCAACGCAACTGTGCTTCCCGGGGCCGGGGCCAATCAGATCCCCAAATGGGTCGTAAGCACTGCCCAACATGGGGCCTGGCACCAGGAAACCGCAAAAAGCAGACCAAGTCATTCCTTCCCTAAAGCCCTGCCCATCCCCCAGACCCAGCTGAAGACAACATGCCTTCCCTGGCTCACACAGCCCCCAGGCCTCTCTATCGGGGGTCTGGTGACCTGGGGTGGCGACTCTGCTGCTCAGGTCTCAGTCTCTGCCCGCAAATCCGACTCCAGGCCCTTGTTATCTCCCTGCACCCTGTCTCTAGTGCCAGCCACAGGGTCTGGCTGCGACTGAAAAAGCTTCTGCCTCCACTCACTCCTGCCTTCTGTGTCTGTGGGTCACTTTTCTGTCCGATTCTGCAGGTCCCAGGGGCACTCGTCCACATGAATTGGGGTCATCTCCCTGAACTGGGAGTCGGGGTGGGGTGTCAGAGGGGCGGGGTTCCACCCTGATCCCCTCGACACCGGCGAGGGAGGCCTCAGGAATCGCCAACTGGTCCAGTCCCTGCCTTCGCCCTGTCCCGTGGGCCACGCGGTGGCTGACCTTGGCCCAGTCACTTCCCCCCCTGGGGACGCGCTTCCTGCCCGCCTGCCGCGCAAGGGCGAATGAATGGGCCTCCCGCCGGCCAGAATCCCCGTAATTACCCGCCTGATCAAAGGCCGCGCGCAGCCCGCCCGGGGCAGCAACGGGACCCGGGCTGACTCGAAAAGAGGAAGGAAGGGCTGGTGGGGGGGCCGAGGGCTGAGACCGTGCCCTCAAGGCCGCGGTATCCGGCCAGACCAGCCCGGCCCGCGCGGCCCCTTCCCCCACCCGGGCCTTAACTTCCCTCAGGAGTCGCCACCACTTCCGGCCACGACCGGCGGAGTTGGGACGTGGTGGGGACGGACAGCGCCCCCGACCCCGAGGGCCCGCAGAAAAGGGACCCCCACCAAGGCCCCCGGCCCCAGCCAGCGCACGCGCGCGCGCGCCCCGGCCCCGGCCCCGCGCACGCGCGCCACCCCCTCCAGCCCCGCTCGCCGCCCGCGGGCCGCCAGGGCACGCGTCCCCTCCCAACGCCTTCGGCGCGCACGCGCACTCCCCCCGCCCGCGTCACCCCGGCCGCGCGCCCACTCACGCCCCCCCAGCAGCGCGCACGCGCGCCCGCCGCCCAGTCGCGCTCGCCCTCCCGTCTCCCCACCCACCCCCAGACCAAGCCCAGCTTCCCGAAGCGCGGGCCCACCCTGCCTCCAGTGCACAGCCCTCGCCCCCGCCCCTCACCTCCTCGGTCCCGGGGCCGCCGCGCGTCACTCCTCTTCCTCTCTCCTGCCTCGCGGATAGTGGCAGCGGCGGCAGCGGCGACTCAGACCCTGGGGTCAGGGGGACGGGCGCCCAGGCCGGAAGTGACCTTCCCGGCCGCTTCCGCCCGCGCGGCTTCCCCCCCCCCCCGCCCCGGGCCACCACCCTGTCCTTGCCGCTCTAGGAAGGCGAGCCCGCTACCCCGGCCGCCGCCCCCAGCTCTATGGTGCCCGGCGGGCGCCTGAGGGAGCCACTTCCGGACGCGTCTAGGACACAAGTCCTCCGTCCATGCTCTATGGCGCCCCGCGCCGAGGGGCTTCGGCCCCGCCCCCTTCCTGGACAGGAGATGCAGGCTGGGCCCGTTAGGCGGAGACTTCCGGGTGTCGAGGGCGGCGCCCCCCCGCCCCCCAAGCCCGGGCTCCTCGCGCCTGCGCGGCCGTCTCCCCGCGCTTGCCTTGCGGAGAGTGTAAAGTGGCGGAGAGGGACGCTCGTGCCAACTCGGGTCCTCCTGCCGTCTCTATCATGGTAACCCCTTCTATGCCGCCGCTCCTCCCGGTGGCCCGAGTCCAGGTGCCCAAAGGGCTCCGTCCCCTGCGACCCCGGATTCCTTAGTTACTGGATGGAGAGTGCTGCGCTTCAGGTGCCATAGCCTCAGTTTCCTCCTTTCTGAAGTAATAAAAATACACTGTGCGCCTCCAAGTGCTTCACATGCGCTAGGTCCTCATCCTAACTAAGGCCTCGGGATAGGTCCTGTCCCCATTTTGCAGATGAGGAGTCAGATCACCTAACGAAAGTCACACACACGGAATACCAGAGCCCGGGCCCGAACCCGTGGAGTTTGTCTCCAAATTCGTGTATTTAACCCTTGACTGTACACAGTGCCTGCTGTCACAGCAGCTGAGAATCCACCACTTCCTCGTGTTAAGTAGCCACCTAGTAAGCACGCACTGGATGTCAGCTGTTACTGTTAGTATTCTTTCAAAAAACACACATTTTAAAATCATTGTCCAAACGGTGGTGTCCTTGCAGGCGAGTCCTTCTGGTCCCTCCTCTGTTCTGTACTTGGCCGACTCTCACCTAAGTGAGAGTGGCAGATGACTTATCGTTTATAATTGTTTTATTATCATCCTTATTGAGAATCAGAAATATAGGAAGCTACAGTTCACTTGTGGAATAACACCTTTCTCAGCCTCAATTTCTCATCTGTGAAATGGGAAAAAGTAAGATCACATGTGAGGTAGTATGTGTAAAAGCTGCTAAGTTCATTATTGGCCTTGAAGTAAACTCACGCAAATGTTAGTGGTCCTTATTACTTATTAGTGTTATTTAAAGTCTATTGCTGGCGGCCACTGTGTAACCTCAAATCTCAGTCAGCATCAGTCATAAGATGTGCATTATTGATTTAATAGCATCTTTCTGTGGTGTGGGGGCAACAGTGCTGTATTAAATTTGTGTGTCAATAGGAAGATGTCTGAGTCCCTCGTTGAAGTATCACAAAGGTAAATTTTTAAATATACCTTAGATCATAAGGAAGTGTGGCCAGGCATGGCGGCTCACGCCTGTAATCTCAGCATTTTGGGAAGCTGAGGTGGATGGATCACTTGAGGTCAGGTGTTCGAGACCAGCCTGACCAACATGGTGAAACCCAGTCACTACTAAAAATACAAAAATTAGATGAGTGTGGTAGCACTCACCTGTATCACAGCTACTCGGGAGGCTGAGGCAGGAGAATCACTTCAAGTTTGCAGTGAGCTGAGATCACCCCACTGCATTCCAGCCTGGGCAACAGAATGAGACTCTGTCTCAGAAAAAGAAAAAAAAAAAAAAAAACGAAAAAAAAAAAAAAAAAAAAAAAGAACAGAAGGAAGTGCTGTTACAATAGAAACAAGTTATTAAGGGTACGAACTGTACATGAGGAAAACTGTGTGCAGGAAAAGCTGCGTGCTTCTGCTCCTCTGAATCAGATCATTCAGTGGGTGTCCTGCAATGACTTGGTTGTTGGGAGGGACAGCCTCCTCCCTCTCCCAGATCATACCCCTTCTTCACTGGTCAAACTGACAACGGCGAGATCTGGAACAGCTACATTGGCACCTCAGATGGAAGCCAACACTGAGAATGGAGGAGAAACAAGATAGAAGGAGCCAGCTAGACACTGCATGGCTCCGTGAAAGAGGCTCCCTGCCAGCTGAGACCTTACGGGAGAGAAATCACGTTCACACTCACTGAAACCATTGGTAATTCTGAGTCTCTCTCTTAAGACAACCAAACCAATACCAGCACGTTTCCCAAACATGGGATGGGTTGCAGCAGACATGGCCAGTTCACAGTTAACATCTGTCCTTCCCTTCCACAGTACCAAATCCTTCCCGGGATGCTGCTTCCCATCCATGGCTTAGGTTTTCCACTCCTCTTGGCATCTAAGCATGGCCTTGTGATTGGTTCTCACCAATGGGATGGGATGGAAGCAATACAGGCCTCTTCCAAGCCAAGGCTCTTAAGAAACATGTATGCCCAGGCTAGGCGCAGTGGCTCACACCTTTAATCCCAGCACTTTGGGAGGCTGAGGCGGGAGGATCATGAGGTCAGGAGTTCAAGACTAGCCTCACCAACATGGTGAAACCCTGTCTTTACTACTATTTTGTAAAAATACAAAAATTAGCAGGGCACAGTGGCGGGCGCCTGTAATCCCTGCTACTCAGGAGGCTGAGGCAGGAGAATCGCTTGAACCCGGGAGGTGGAGGCTGCAGTGAGCCAAGATCACACCTCTGCACTCCAGCCTGTGCGACAGAGCCAGACTGTCTCAAGAAAATAAAATAAAAATAAATAAATACAATGGAATATTATTTAGCCTTAAAAAGAAAGACAATTCTGACACATGCTACAACATGGATGAACCTTGAGGACATGATGGTAAGAGAAATAAGCCAGTCACACAGGACAAATACTCTATGATTCCACTTATATGAGGTACCTAGAGGAGTCACATTCATAGAGACAGAAAGTAGAATGGGGGTTGCCAGGGGCTAGGGGGAAGGGAATAGGGAGTTAGTGTTTATTGGAGACAGAGTTTCCATTTTGCAAGATGAAAAGAGTTCTGGAAATGGATGGGGGTGGTGGGTGCACCAGATGTCAATAGGTTTAATACTGCTGAACTGCACAGCTAAAAATAGTTGAGACATGGCCAGGCACGGTGGCTCAGACCTGTAATCCCAGCACTTTGGGAGGCTGAGGCAGGTGGATCACCTGAGGTCAGGAGGTTGAGACCAGTCTGGCCAAGATGGTGAAACCCCGTTTCTACTAAAAATACAAAAATCAGCTGGGCATAGTGTTGCATGCCTGTAGTCCCAGCTATATGGGAGGCTGAGGCAGAAGAATCGCTTGAACCTAGTAGGCGGAGGTTGCCGTGAGCCAAGATCATGCCACTGCAGTCCAGCCTGGGCGACAAGAGTGAAACTCCGTCCCTCCACCAAGAAAAAAAAATAGTTAAGACATTTAATTTTGTGTTATATATATGTCTTTCTACGATTTAAAATGTTTTTAAGGAAAAAAGTAGTACCCCTCTAATGTGATGTGCCATTACCATCTGTGGATTTATTACAGTAGCTTCACTCTTCCCTAACTATTACAGTTTTCAGATGCTAGGCAGTAAAAACGGCAAAGCTCCCTTTCAGGGATGCATCAGCATCTAGATGGAATTTAAATCCTTGAGACCGAATAAAATTGGGTGGAGGGGGTGTCGGTAAGTCTGGAGAGAATCGAACATGGCTATAACAGCACCGTCCCACCCAACTTGGCCCATCAGTGGCTCTCTCTGGATCCCTCTCTCTGGAGAGTCCACTGCTATGGCACAGATGCCGAGATGTGAGAGGCTAGAAAGCTCACGGCAGCCTTGTTTTGCACCATGGGGAGGAAGCCATTCTGCAGGAGAAACACTTTCCCAGCTGCGTTCTATGCCGAGGCCGTAGGCTTGGCTGCTTCCTCTCTGCCTAACCTTCCTGAGGGCTGGGTGTTCCACTCTTCCTTCCCTTGAGTGAGTGAGTCTCTCTAGACATCTTCCAGGAAAGCCCCGTTTTGGATTCTACATTGGTTGAGTGGTGGGCGAGGGGAATAGCCACATAGCTCCGTAGTCATCTAGAAAGTCTGAGGTCTCTGGTGGGGGGCATGGGCTGCAGCTCCCACTGGGGAGCCCGTTAGAGCTTTCCTCATGGTTTCCTCCTGAGGGTGTGACCCTAGGCCCAGTGACAGGAACAGCTGCAGCTGGCAGATTGGAGAGGGAGAGTTTGCAGCTGTTGAAATACAATTGC